GAGTTGCTCCAGTTCGATCTCCGACTTGCGACTCGCCGGCCCAGATCATAGCCCGAGTCGCTCCAGTTCGATCTCCGACTTACGACTCGCCGGCTTGGCTCATAGCCCAAGTCGCTCCAGTTCGATCTCCGACCTGCGACTCGCCGGCCCAACCAGCCCCCACAGATGACCAGCACGACCGAGGAATCTGGACCTAGGTGCGCCTCTCGTCCACGCAATTTTCAAAAACCACACGACACGCCTCCGCATGAGGGGGGGGGAAGTGATGAGGGATATCCTGGGGACCCGACAATGTTACAGTTAGTGACGCACCATCCCGCGATAGCTAGGTCAACCGGAAGGACGCCCACTGACAGGGGCAATAAAGGCGACACGACCTGATTAACATCAGCTATCCTGGATGACGCCTCGATCAGACCCAACAGCACTCAGTCAAACTGACCGGAACACCAACCGAGGCACATTAACACCTACTCGGGCTCGGTTCCTCACGCCACGCCAAACCAATGTCAGACGCAACCAGCCTGCCCCTGCAAGCAGGCACATCAGGAAACAGTAAGCCTCCCTATAAATACCCTCGCACTCTGAACGAGCAGAAAAGAGGAGGGACAGACCAAAAACACTTCTTCTCATGAAACCCCCTCCACATCTTCTAACGTGATCGTCGGAGGGGTCGGGCCGACCTCCCCGGCCCGACCTTTGTACAGGTGCGAAGGCGAAGGTCCCCGTCGGTCCCGCAGGCGAGGAGTCCCTGCCCGGAGGAGACGGCCACATCGTCCCGAGTGGACGCCGCCCTGACCTCCTCAGCAGGCTCGAGGAACGCCCCAGGGAGATCCCCGTCGTCCGGACCCGAACCGAGCCGCGTCCGCTCCGAGGCCACGGCTCAAAGTTGTTTACACTAACAACATACATAATAAATCCGTACTGCATATGTTAGTTGATTGCAAATATTCCTTTTTGTTGAAGGTCATCTTCCAATCTTTTTCAGATTTATGTGGTCATGTTGGACGTGCGGCATATGCCACGAAAAGGACTATCGATTTTGGGCAGCCAACTTCGCTCTCTCATCCCGAGGTACTGGTTTAAGAATGTTACAGCACTTTTTTCCTTCCCTGTTGCACTTTGAGACCTGCTGATATCTCTTGTCTAGACACAGTTGCCACCTGCACGTGACCTTTTTGATTTTTGATCAAGAGAATGTTCCTGTCATATCTTTATCGTTTTAAAGTTGAGAAGTTGTAATGTCAATGTCATCTCAAATGTAGAAGAACTATCCTAGTGTCTATATAAATTTGAGTAGCATGTTACTTGAGAAGTGAAACAGATATTTTTGATATTGCACCTTCCATAACTTAGTTTTGAAGATAAGAAAATGACACTACTTAGTCATGCTACGTGGTGTTTGTGAACCTTGTTATTGCTTTTCTGTTCCCTTAAGAACTTTTAAAAATACATCTGTCCTAGACTCTCATACTAGGATGAATTAAGAAATTTTTTTGCTAAAGTGTTAGTAATTTCTCTGTCATCTTGCCTTAAAACTTAGTAAGGCAGAAGTTTAGGGCATCTAATGCATCTGAAATTCTATGTGCCATTATTAAAAACGCCCCTTCTTCTCTTGCAGATAAATTTGCAGCCCAAGGTTAACATGACCTGCACTCGTCAACTTGTATAGAACTGTTGTTTATTTGGGTTTTTAGCTTCAATCTCCTTGTCTGATATAATGATGTTATCAAATTGCAGTTATGTGGGGAGATTGGTTCGTCATGCGCTCTAGACCTAAATCTGTGCTACATCACTCCTTGTCTGTCTGCATTTGTTTGTTAGATCCAAAACAACTGGTAGCATCTTCCTACCAAGCATTTAAAGGCCATGCAAGTCATGGATCATCAGTTATTGTTAGTCAAGACACTGTTTGGTGCTTGCTGGAGGGACTAGGTATGTTGCTGCTTCTGTTATTTGGTGGAATGATACTATACCATCCATAAATTATGTCAAAAGGTCTAATTCTTTGATAGGATCACTGAACATTTGACACATTATAATTTTGAAGTGTGATAGTATCCTATGTTGGATACAGTAAATACAACCATGTCATCCATTTATACTTTTACCTTTTGTTGTTCATTATTATCCTTTCTTTAAATTATTAGAAAATTTAGGTTTTTATTCTTTTATCTCTTTCATCTGGTTCTCGTCATTACTTTTTCATTTGTTTACCATGATTTTTACCCATGTTATATGATGTCTTGAATTAAATGTAATAATTGTCATTAAACCTGGATATGTTTAACAGATGAGCTTCAAATTAGCTGGTCTTGATTTTTATAAACACATATGCTCGAGCTTTTTAGGGACTGGATATGTATCATGAAACAACAAGCCTTGACAGGATGATCTGCAAATAAAAATTTATCCCAATCCATTGTTTGAAAATGATTTTGGTCGGATCTTAACACTTTGGTAGTTGATTAGTTTAATTAATGCAGCTTAAACATTGTTGAGTATCATATAGGTAGCTTGATTGTTAGAGGACAGCATAATTCATTAAGCAAATTCGTATGCTAGAAATTGTAGACTGTCTGGTCAAACAATTACGCTCGGTGGAGTACATTGGGCTTATATGGATTTCAATGAAATATAATAGTTTACTGCTGGTTGGACGATTGAACCAGGATTTTAGGTTTGGTTCGGTCCTGGTTCAATCTATGATGGTTAGTTGGTTCAATCGAACTAACTAAAACTGATATAAGTAACAATCGAACCCTAACTTGCCGTTGCCGATCCCGATCTCGATCCCGCTGCTCGTCATTGTCGCTGTCGTCGCTCGCGCCCTCTTGCTGTTTTTAATGTTTTTAATACTGTTAATTTTTATTTATTTAAAACTTTTTGTTAATGTGACATTATGATTTTGTATCTTAGATTTTCTTAATTTAATAACATTATATTTATATAAAAGTAACTATTTTTCTTCTTGTTGTTGATTTCTGCTTATTTTCCTTGGGCATGAACTATCTTAAAAGTTAACTATTTTTCTTGTTGTTGTTGAGTTTCGAAGGTCTTCTCTGACACTTAACTTTTTTTTTTTCCCGTTTTATTTGATTTGGTGATATCGCTTCATTTTATTTTTATGGCATTGGATTTCATCGTGTCACATCCTAAATCCTAATTTTTTTTTACGTCGGATAGTCAAATAATAAATAATATTTTATTAATATATATGAATTATAATTTATTTATTTATCAAAATATAAATAAAAAAAAATTTGTTTTATTAGAAAACATAACGATGTCAGCACAGAAATAAATCTGGCTTAACCTTTTGACTGTCCTTTATTTAAATGGTATAAACACATGGTATAACCTGGCAAAAACATAAACCAACGAATAGCCTGAACATTATTTAAATGGATGGATACATCTCGATACGTTTGTACCAAGCCAATCAATCAATCTACCGTCACAATCAATGAAACCGATCTACATGAGGAAAATATTAATCATGATCACTATCAAGGGACACAATTACCAATAACCTTTTTGACTTTCATGGAATGACCAAATGCATCTGTGTAAGTCTTTATGCCCATTGGTGTACAAAAAAACTAACTCATGTCATTGATCATGCAAGCAGTTAAAACTAATAACCGATTGCTTATATTATGTCATCTCTCAACCACAAAGGAACGTTTATTATCAAGCATCTAATAGAAAACTGGAAGCTCTTTTTTCTATTTCTCGTGTATTCATCTAAAGATTCCATTGCTGGGAAACATATGGGAATAATTAAACACATGATTAATGTCTCAAAAGAAAGAGGAGACTGGTCTGAATACTTGGAAAGAAACATCAGCATGAGACCTACATGAAACTCAAAAATATATAGTTTCTTAAATTTAACATGAGTAACTGATAGAACACTCAAAAATATATACATGTCATTTTTTCATATCGGGAAATTGGTTTGAAAAGGTAAAAGATCAATGTGATGAACTGTAACATATGGAGTGTTCATTCTCTACTGACTTCAAAATTATAGGGTCTCATGATTGAACTATTCAGTGTGATACATGCACACATACATGAGACACATAAGGAACAGTTATTTTAGAAACAAGATTAAAAATTTCATCATATGTGCACAAAGTTGTATGTGTATACATACACATCCATCGATTCATATAAGCATTTGGATCGAGAGAGACACACTATCTATGTACCTATGCATTCATATAAGCAGTTGGATCTAGAGATAGACACCATCTAGACACAAAGCTCAATGGCGGCCTTCTCTACCAAAATCTTCACAATTTCATTCACAGAGATTCTAAGTGGAATTACATATGGTGTATAATAAGATTAAAAATGACAGCCTCATTATTTTCAAAATTGCATGTTCCTCTTGAGCATTAAAATACTCACTACAAAAGAAAAAAAATCTGATCAAGGAAAACATTATATGACCATGTAGATCAATCTATCTAGATGAAAGTACCAAACATGGTTTTTTTCACCTTCTATAATAACAACAATAAAGCCGTAAAGAAATAAGTCTGTATTTGACTACAATTGTGATCATTCTTATAAGTAATCAAATGTTTCTCTCTTCTTAAAGTGAGTATTTACAATTATAAGATCAAACAAAGTTTCAAAATCTAAAATCATATCATCATTTTCATTTCTCTCCCTATAACTAAAGCCCCTATATACCTCTTTATATTTACCATATGTTTTCCCTACAAGATCATTCAAATCTCCTCCAACTATAAAATGTTTTGTTATAAATATTCCTTAAATGATATTATCTAAGTTTCCAAAATTCTCTTTTGGTTTGACTATTCAATCTCACTTAAGAGGAATAAGCATTAATGACATTCACAAAATCTCGTTCCTTTATAAATTTTAGAACAATAATTTTATCTCCAAACCTTTTTACATCTATAACATTGTTCTTAAGAACCTTATCGACAACAATTCCTATGTCATCTTGTGTTTCACTATTTCAGTATATCAAATTTTAAATCCAGTACTATCAATCTCTCTAGATTTTTTTCCTATCCATTTAGTCTCCTATAAGCAAATAATATTTATTCTTCTTCTTATCATAGTGTCCATCAATTCTAATCCATTCCCTTAAAGTGTACTTGTATTCCAAGTTGCTAACATAACCTTTTATTCTTGGACTAACTTTTTACTCTAATTGATTTTTTCACTTTCTCATAAAACTAAAAAAGCATAATCATAATTTCTTTACCTTGCGATGAGCTTTGATGTCTCAGCATCCCAAGATTAAGATTAATACCTCTCCACAGTCTTAAGGTTCACCCTATAAAGATGTGCACATATATGTAAGAAACCAAGAACTAAGAAAAGATTTCATATAGAAAATGCATGGGAGTATAAAGACTCGCATGAGGAAGAAAAAGTTCAAGTGTTGCAATTCTTGCCTATACAGGTACATCCAACTTGGGCAAAGTTGACAAAAGACTAGTTCTAACATGTAGATTTGACAAGAAGCTAACTATGGATTTTCTGATTTATGGAATACCAAACAAGCATAGCATATAAATCAAGCCAACCAAATGGAGCTGAACCATGTTTTGTTAGGAGACAGTGAGAAAAGGGAATAACACATTAATCCGGCTACTAATAAGACAATGGCCAAAAAATAAAGTGAAGTTCTTAGCATTTTCAAAACACAATTATTATTATCTGTTAACATACATAAACAAATTGTATTGGCCTTGGTATTAATGGTATTAAATATAGAGAAAACATAGACTCAGGCGCCCAATTTTGTTGTCACCATCTAAAGACAAATGGGCGGTAACAATGATAACAATCCATAGGTATGTGATGGAGCTCGTTTTATACCATATGTTTTGGTCAAATCATTTTCCACATTCAATTAAATTTCCTAAATATTTTCCCTTTGGTCCAATGTATTCTAGATAAAGATGCCAAACCATCTTGACAAATTTCCTAGAGCAATAAATGCTTCAATAGCATGTCCAAAAAAGCAAAATATCCTTCAACTCAAACATGACAACAACAATGACCAATCAAATCCAGACATGATAAGAGAATACCCAAACATGATTTCCAACAAAAATCTTTTGATGTTTGGGTTTCTAAATGTATGGAAGATTAACTATTTTCCACAGCTCTCCTATTTTAGAAAAGCGGTGAACAAAAAATGGATCTCAATGGAAACTATTAATAGTTTGTACTTTGGGCACTCCAAGAGCTTAATATTCTTTGTTAAATGTGCCACAAAAAAGAACTTCCAGTTGCATCAACAGTCAACTAGACAGAGAAAAAAATGGATAATAATCTAAGAACAATTATAATCTTTTACCTGCAGTCCTTGCGGAGTAAATAAATGGATCTCAATGCATGTGCATTTACCGAAAACAAAAAGGCAAGATGCCTGGTTACAAAATCGATGTAACTCTTTTCTCTGATGCAAAGAGATGCATAAGCATCACTCAAAGGAAAAAAAAAATGAAAGAAACAACCTAAATTGATGGATAAGGATCATAGAAAAATATATGATCCTAATACCTGCTGTCCACAAGAAGCAAGCAAATGGATCTTGATGTGTGTGCATTTACTAAAAAAAAATGCAAAAAAGATACATAAATATCAATCAAGAACAATAAATGACAGCAACAATCTAAATTTAGCCTACGATAGTCCGCTCTAACCATATAAGCAATATAATCCAATCCGTTGTGCGCGTAGTTGTCAAAATATTTAGGAAGCAAGAACGTCACTCCACTCACACCAAAAAATTAAAACCAAGAAAGTCAAGAACTCACAGACACAGGGTTCCGTCCTAACAAGAAGGGAGCCTTTCAGCCCAAACGAAACCTTAGAGCGAGAGAATCTCCAAGAAAACGATAGAAAGATCCAATTACGAGCCGTAAAACCCTAAAACCAAGATCGAAAACGATAGAGGATATTTGGAAAGCAAGAATATTACTCGATGATGATGAGGGGGCTGGTGAAGGGGGCCGACGCACGAGTGGCTAACGTCGACCGACTTGAGAGCCGTAACCTTGTAGTTCGATCTCCGCAGCCGCCGCTCCTCGGGCTCCTCCTCCGCCTTCGCCTTCGCCGCCGCCCTCGCCGAACCAAAGAGAGAAAGGAGG